TTTACTTTAATGATTTATCGGGAATTTTAAGATGTTTTTAAATGTTTTTTTGTACATTCAGTAATTTTCTATTTTTTTAAGGAATTTATTTCAAAACCTTAGCAATAGTACTTATGGCGGTTTTCGGAAGTTTTTTTTAGTAATTTTCCAGTGCCCTTTCGCCATTACGAAAGTTCTCGATATTTCTCGGGATTTTCGTGGATTTTTGCGATTGCTTTTTAACTTTTAGGTTTCTCTGCAGACGTTTGACTTATTTTTCGATAGCTCTGAAATTTTTTTTTATAAGTATTTGGCCGTTTTCAATATTTTTTGGGGGGTTCTCGGGCTTGTAAGTTTGTTTTTTTTTGTTTGATATTCCGAGGCTTTATGTTCTTCAAGGGTAATCTGCGATTTCTAATTTAAAGGTGGTTTCCGGGGGTATCTCGGGAATGTTTTTGAGTTTCTCGAAAATTTCTCGATAACTTTTTTAAGATTTCCCGAGACTTTTTCGCTACTTTTCGAGAATTTTCGGGGTTTTTGAGGCTTTCCAGACCGGTTCGCACTTTCCGGTATTAAAACAGGATTATCCGGACAGGATGCTTATAAAATTCTTCGGGCTATTATGAAGTTGCTACATTTTTGCAGAGTTTTTAGATTTTCGTGTCTTTTGGGCTCTATCTTTACAAATTTAATTATGTAAAATGCTATATTTGTCCAATAAATAGTTATTCTATGTATTGCCAAAAACACAGCTCAAAGTTTATAATCCAAGATTGACTTAAAATATTAAATTGACTTAAACTATTAATTGATTTGCAATAAAAGTGACTGGGCAACAGAAAAGTGCGATAAAAATACAAAACATTGTGTTAAAAAAAATACCGGATTATAATTAAAATATACGAAATACATAAACTAAAGGAGGAAAATAGTGGCAAATAGAAATAATTTATGATTTCTGATTATGGATAATTATATTGTAACATGCAAGCGAAAGTGTCTTTGCTTCTTTTAAATACATGCTGGCAAGAGCGAAAGCGCAGTAAATCGCTTCTACGCAATAAAAAGTGGAATTATATTTTTCAAATCGTTATTTCTTCTTACGCAGAGTTAGAGTCCTTAGCCAAGAAAAGGTTTACTTATAAGGAGCTTTTCATAATTTAACATGCTTATTGAAACATTTCAACGTTTATGGCGTACCTGAAGTATGCTTAGTAAAATCGAAGCGTAAAAATGTAAGCCCAGCTACCCGATATGCGAAGGGCATTAAAATAAGCTGCACATGCTATACAAGCTTAGCAAAAAAAAAAGTACAGCAATTAACTGAAAAATAAAGCAACCACAAAAAGTTAAGTATACGCTGAGGAGCAAAAGCTCGCGGCATTATTTATGAGAGCTGTGAAGAAAAATGGTTATAAATTTAATACAAACGCACACACTCATACAAAAACGTTTATGTAAGTATGTATGTTCATATTTCTCCGGCCTTTATGGGAGCAGATTATTTTTTTACGCTTTTATGAGTGCTGGAAGTAATTGCTGAGTAGCACGTCAGGCGTATACAAAACGCACAGCTGTGAAGGTCACAATAAAAAAAGCGAATAAATAAGTTAGCGAATGAAAGAAAAACGAAGCGAGTGAAAAATAAAATTCCATAGGTTCGCTGGTTTGTTTGCCATTTCAGTTTTATTTATTTTTTTATTTGTTCATATTTTTTTCGTTATCAATTTTTTAAAATTTTTTTTTGCATTTTAAACTCTTTCATCCACAATAATAACTGCACATCTATGCATTTACTGCTTTAATTTTATGTTTTGAATGACCAGTCACTCAGTTGGCGCCAACGTTTTGGAGGTCATTCGCACCGCGCTGCGGCAAAACAGAGTCAAGGTCTCGAGCGCCCTTCGCGCTGACCAGCTGCTGCGCACTTGTGGTCGTTGAGCAATAAATGTTGTAAAAAATACTAACTTTATGCAAAAAAGGGGAAAACTAAAATGAAGGTGAAAGTGAAAGTGAAAGTGCTAGTGAAATTAAGCATTTCGTAAAACTGCTGTCGCCTTTTTGTCCCTTGACGGGCACAAAGCTTAAAAATGTGCTAATGCGCCTAAAGTTATGCAAATATTGGCATGTTGTGACAGTTGTGTGCCAAAGGCAGATTGCGTGACATTAAGTAATAAGGATTAACAAAAAACACATGCAAATAATGGAAACACACATTTTGGCAAAGCATACTCTGATATTAATTTTCCAAAGCTTTTTAGCCTTAACGAATAGCTTAGTACCTACCTACAGTAGCGTATGATTTTTTAAATATAGCCAACTGCTTAAGTGAACACGTGCTATAGAGTGGCGATATCTTTTAACGATATCGTTTAACATTGATATTGATAACGATAGCGATAAAAATACCAATGAATTTTTCAATAAATTTCAAGTATTATAAGTACCAGGTTGACCGAGCTTTTCTAGGAGTGCATACACTTTTTAAAGTTTTCAAGGTTTGGGTTTCAAATACTTGTCATTTGTATAGCTTTAAAAAATATTTTGGAAATAATATTTAAAAAAGTGTGGATTTTTGTATCTATAAAAGAGTAAATTTTATACTTTACAATTTATTTGGCAACCCTGTTTAGAAATACGCTGGAATGAATGCACATTTCTTGATCGTATATGTACTGCTGATTGAAATTGACAAATAATGAATTTGTATTACACAGAAGCGTAGCAACCCTGATTTTATAATGTGTGTGATTGTGAGTTGTGGTGAGCAATATAACATGACATAAAAAATTTTAATCTTCATTTTCCACAATATTTATCTCCTTATCTTTATCTCTATCCCTCTAAATATCTTTGTCTCAATCCTCTTCTTTATATTTTATTTTTCATCTATATCTTTGATTTGAGTTAAGTTGAGTTGAAGTGAAGTTAGGTTAGCAATATTGCCTATCAGAATCTTCAGTTTCATTTTTATTTTGCTCTTTTTTTTCTTATATACATATTTGCCTTTATTTCTTATATCTTCAACTCATCTCTATTCCTTTCTTCTACATACATATTCACATTCGCCTACACGGATAAGTATTAGTTATTGAAATTTACATCCATCTTTGTTTTTGCATAACTTAATTTGTGTCTCTATTTTANGTGTCAACTAGCAGCTGACACTGCCTCCTTCTTATACATTTCAAAAAAAAAAAAAAAGGTTGATGCGACTGAGATATTATTCGTACATAGTAAATGCTAACTTGAGAGATATTTCAAGCACGAGCTTAAGTAAGCAGAGACAAAGAGCAACGTATAAGTGCTATTTCGATGGCATGACTTAAAAAAAAAATGGATAATAAGAAGCTGCTGACCAGCCGAAAGTGAAGAGCATTTGACAACAATAAATAAGGCAGGCAAATTGCGGACGTAGATGGCGCCGTTGATATGAATGAGATCTTCTAAATAAAAAGAAAATTTTAAGTTTGCTGATGATGAGGACTACCGACCATAAGGACATTTTTGTTTTTAAAATTCTAATGATAATCACTCAACGGCTGCCATGTTGTGACGCAAGCTATTTTATTTGACAATTGCTTACTTATTTCAGCTTTTTCATGCTCTTATACCGCTGCTGATAGTAATGCAACGGAACTGATACTGTTAGCAGCGCCGCTGTCTACTACTTGCCTGCTGTTCAGTAGCCTGAAAGTTGATGAAGGTTGTGTTGAGTGCAGCAAAGAATTAAGTGGATAATATTCCGCCCGTGCAATCACTATCTCAGAGCTCACACCTTTTTAGCTCTCTATCTATGCTGACATGTTTTTAATTAAACTGAAGAATACTGGAAGGCGCCTAGCCTTTACACTACACTTCACTTCATCCAATTTGCCTTTCATTCCACTTTTTCCACTACCTGCTGGTTGGCATTTTATTTGCTTTCATTAAACATCGCTTGATGGTAATCGGTTGCTACTGCTCCATCACTTAAACCCTGCATCAGTTTGTCAAGCAAACTTTTGCATATCTGTCATTTTTAAATGTATTCGCCTTGGGTTGTGCAACCAAAGCACCTGGCAAACTTTATCCATATTTTAGCTTTGTGCGCACGATTTTAAAAATTAGAATAATAAGCAAGTGTTGCTATTAGGGAAATATTAACTTTCAGGTTGGAGTAAAAAAATTACGGTAATAATAAAATTGTTTAGTAGTATGGCTTGCTGCTGAAAGTTTTTATAAAGTTTGAGGATTTTAAAATATGCTGGAAAGCTTGTTGTACATAGCTTAAACTTTTTTATTACAAAAATTCGTATCACTTAGCTGAAGATAATTAAGAACAAAAGAATTTTCTCTCTCTCTCTCTCTCTCTTTCTTTCTTTCTCCAACAGGATGGCGCATCAACGTCCACAATTCTTGTCATCTCAATTTCCCTGCTTTATTGGTTTCGTCATACAGGCGAATGTTGGAAATTCGATGGCGGTGGTCCGGGTGCACTCGGTCCCGGTGCACCGATACATAACAGCCCGTCTCCGCTGCTGCTAAATGCGCCCACATTTATTGCCACCTATACACATTCGCGTGCGGTACGTAGCGCTTCAGCGTCACCAGGTAGTGGTGGTGGTGCTTCCGCTGCGGCTGCACGTGGTCCACCGCCAGCTGTGCCGCCGCCAAGTGGGAATGGTGGTGTTATGGCAGGCGGCAGCTTCTCGGCACTGTTAAATGGCCAACAACAGGATATTTTGTATGCTTGTCCGTTGAATAGTATGTGCCAGTGTGCAGGTTTGCCCAACGAGACGTCCACATTGATCGAAATCAATTGCAATGAAGTGGCGCTGTATAAATTTCCAGGTGAGTCAAGTGAATAATTTTTAAAAGATTTAAAAGAGTATTCAATTGAGTAATAAAGCCATTTCTTTTTTTTCAAAATCATAAGTCGTTAAGTTTTTCGTGACTAATGATTTTGGAGCAAATTACTTGCAAAAAGTTGTAACCAGCAAAATGTTTTTCGTTTTGTTATTTTAATGGGCTTAAGTTTCAGTTAACGGTGAGAATTATTCTCATAAGAATAAGAATTCCCGCACTTAGGTACTAATCAGATGGTGAATATAACAATGAGTCCCTATTCCCATGAGAATTATGCTCGTCGATTACCAGAACCTTAATACCACTTCCCACAAGTCCTGGGTGAGCTGCTGCACCTGATCTAGAGAATGTGGATTGAACCTCAACCCGCAAAAACGGTCACAATTCTCTTTACACAGAAAATTAAAATCCCGCTATTTCAATTTCCTACAAGAAAAGGGGCAACACTGTTACCCTCTAATGAAGTGAAATGCTTGGGCGCCATATCGTACAGCAAACTGACATGGCAAAGTAACATAGAGAAGCGGACCAAGAAGTCCATTACAACCCCCTACGCCAGCAAAACGGCTATTGACATTGAAATTGCGTCTCAAAGCCCACATTGTGCATTGGATTTATGCAGCAGTTGTACGTCCTAAATTATTCCACTATATTGAAGTCTGGTGGACAACACTGGATAAGTCGCTCACTAATTCTTAACTTACCAAGGTGTATGCTAATTACAGGTGTGCTGCCATACATGCCCATCAAAGCCATAGAAACTCTCCTAAACTTACCCACAGACCCTTTTTAGGGAAGCTACATGCGAGCTGCAATGCAGTAAGAATAAATGCACTATCAAAATGGAAAGCCGTTAGATTCGGTCAAACCAACAATCTAACCAACCACCTAGATACATTTGGGTGCCCAGATTACATAACACAACCGCTGGAGCTCGAAACAAGCTCTCTATTCCTTCGAAGAAGGACAAGATAACTCCACAGCCATCCATAGGGAGTGCTCAAACTAAATCTAAGAGTAGGAAGTGGTATACACTCACAGTACCTCTCATTAGACCACCGCAGTATCTTCCAAGCAGAACTCACGGCCATAAAATAGGCTGCATTCTTCAGCTTTCAAGTCACTAGATTGAATTTAGGAAAGTCCTTAACGTATTAACTTCAAAGTCTACTTCTCATATTGTGTAGATTCGATTGGAGCCATTTTTAGGGCCAAGCATAGCGGGAACGATTGGCTACATCAACGATCTCATAAACAATACTCATCAGAGCCGTTGGTGCACTATTTATTGACACCTGCAAAATAACCAAAATCCCATATTGGAAAAAGAAGAAGTGATCTACGAGCCCTGATAGGACTTTTTACGGGGCACAATCCATGGGGACGACATANCAAAATAACCAAAATCCCATATTGGAAAAAGAAGAAGTGATCTACGAGCCCTGATAGGACTTTTTACGGGGCACAATCCATGGGGACGACATAGAAGCATTGAGTTCGCACACCCACCTATATATCCCCTTCTTCTAAATCCTTTCCCTTGGCCTTAAGTACAATGGGCAATACGGCCCGAGTGCTAGGAATTTTTTATTTTTTTCCGGCAATTCCATTCCATTCAGTCCTGCTGTGTGTCGCTAATTTTGATAACCAAGAATCGCTCAAATAAAAGCAGTGTGTCATACTGCCAGATGTAGCTTATTATACATTAGATTTGGACTCTCATTTAGAGAATTTTAATGAGAATTATAAAATGGCGTGGCTCAAAACACGTGACAATCCACTTGATTCTTTTAATTTATGTGATTTTTAAGTCGAGGTAAGCATTTTGGTTGGCGAGATTTTTATTGACAGTCTATCGGAAAGGGCTCTTGTTACCAGCTAGTTGTTCATTTGCTATCTAAGATGTGATGCCGATTCAGTCTATGTAGCAGGAATTTTCTTCACGAAAGTAATAATTTCATTTATGCAAGCGTAGCTGTGCCTCTAGAGGAGAGAGACATAAAGTAAGCAGTAGATTAGCATAAACGAAATGATAAGAAACCTACATTGGGTTTTTAGGAATTTGCCCTTTCATCTATTTTCTTTTCGTTTTATGTTACCATTTTTTGCATTAATTTAATATTCCGTCATTTTTAGGAAACACCGCAATATTTCCACCCAATGGACCAAATATAAAAAAATTACCCTTTGGAATCCTTTAAACAGCCAACCTTTTTTGTACACAATGATTCTCAACAATTAAAATCTTCTACTACACTTCATCATCATAAATCTTATTGTTGGCTCGTTCTTTTTGTACTTTCGCCACTTTGTAGTCGAATGTTGACAATTGAAGGACACTTCAAACGGCAGCAGTATAGCTAAACGCAATACAAAATTGTTAGATTGAGCGATTTTCTTAAAATAACCAAATTAGAATGGGTTGCAAGCTGGGCAAAAAAATATTGTACGAAGTAAAGTGGTGGTGGTGGCGAAGGGATGAACTGTAGAAATTGCTTAGGGTTCAAAAATAGAATCTAAGTATTTTACCATTTTTTCGCTGATAGAAGAAAATGTTCAAACAGATTATAACGATTAACTGAAACGTGCCATGGTTAAGTACTTTGGGATGCAAATTGAATATTCTAATGCATCACTAAGGAAAAGATTATAAAATATTTATTTTTCAAACGGGCGTTGACACAAACGGTTGCTGTGGATAAGGGTTTTATTTTTATGTTTAATTTTTTTTTGTGAGCAGATACGAGAAAGAAAAATATTTTTTTTATTTTCCTTTTGTAGCATTTTTGCCGAAAATTTAAATACAATTAAAAAAAATATATCCACAACAAAGTGTCTGAGGTGTTCATTAGCTTGCTGATAATCAATTCTAAGCAGTTTGGGCTCTAAGAGCGTAAAAAAAATTATTTACGAAACAGTGGAAATTTTACCATCTCCACTCTAAATTTCGTCGCCAAAATTCTCTAAATGAAATGCAGTGGGACCCAAAAGTACACAACATGAAAAAGTAACAGATGCAATGTTTAATCAGCCAAATTTGGCAGTAAGAGGGGCATGTAACTAAATGTTGCTTGTCGTAGGCGCACCTGCCATTATTTTGATGATTTTGGGGGTGGTCAAAATTTACGATAGCGAATAATGGAATCCGTTTTCTGGCCCCTTATTTAAAAGTTACCATCTCTTGGACAATGGTGAAAAACAATGTTGGTCACACTAATACTAAAACATCTGCATAAGTATGTGTGCCAAGTGCGTGAGAAGCGAAAGCATAAATTCGATGCTTACAGCTGTATGTTAACTTTAAATTAAGCACAAAAACAACAATTGATTTAATAGTTTTCCAAATATCTCGAAAACGGGCCGAGGAAAAAATTTTAAAAGAATTACACATACACACATCAAAATTCTCTATGAAAGAAATATTTTTTTTTTCTTGTTGAAAAATTTTTCACATAAAACTTTTTTAAAAAAAATTAGTTTTGAAAATTTGCTCAAGAAAATCTCAAAAAAAAAATAAGAAAATCACAATGGTAGCTGTGAATATTGCGCAATACTTAAGTATAGTATTACGGGATGCACTCTACAATAATTTGAGTTGTGAATTTTTTTACACTGAAGTTGAGTAAAATGAATACATTACAAATTTAAAAATTTATTTATTTTTTTCTTCCATAAGAAAAAAGTGCAAAAAGCCATAGAATAAAAAATATTAAAAATCAACGCATTTTTGCTATAGCTTAAAACTTGCACTTTATTATACTAAAATTGAATGGGCTACAAGACTGTCTAAAAAAATTTTAAAATTTTTAATTTGTAATGTTCTCATTTTACTCAACTTTGGTGTAAAAAAATTCATAACTCAAAGTATTGTGAAGTGCACCTCATAATACTACACGTAAATATTGCGCAATATCAGAGCTACTATTGTAATTTTTTTAAATTTTATATTTTTTTTTTTTTAATGGCGTATTTCAAAAACTATTTTTTTATCAAAAAATTGTATGTGAAATATTTAAGAATAAAATTTAATATTCCTTTTCATAGAGATTTTGATGTGTGTATGTGTGATTTTTTTTTTAATTTATTAAATCGATTTGTTTTTGTTTTTGTGCAGTAAAGTTTTTAAAAATGTATTAATCAAGCTAAAATTTGACATTTATTTATGATTTATGTATCAATCCTAAAAATTTGAAACAAATCAAAGACATGAAGTTGGACCCCGTCCATTTTGATATGGAACGCCCTATACATACAGTGACCCAAACAAATAACAAGTAATATTTGTTTTTATCGTGCGTAAGTTTCGCTGCAAGTACATATAATTTCTCGTCGAGCGGATGTCATTTCACCACCAAGATAATGCGAGTTTACACCTGCTAAAATTTGTAAAGAGGCTACTTTTCGGATATACTTGAAACATTGGACCAACATTGACTAACTTTTGCCAAGTTATGGCAGAGTTAACGACCAATAAATGCACAAGAATTAGACACAATTTTTCTCAAAAGATCAATGCTTTAAGGCTTGCGAGCATTCCCGAAATCTCCTAAGGTGCATAACTGTGCGATTGATAGCTCCATATAATGGCAGGGGGATCAAGAGATCGATTATAATTATTCACTCTCGACTTTCATGGAGTGTCAAGTGGATTGTTATTATTCATTATCGACTTTCATGGAAGTGATCAATTCCCTTAATTTCAACAGATTACTAAACTAAAGAATAAATTACAAAAGCTGTTTTTTTTTGTAAAAGGGCGACAAAAGAACGCTCAACTCGGGTAACATTTCCTTTTAGCTACTTAAGCAACCCTGTTGGTAGCTAGCAAGAAACATGCGATTAGTTTGAGGCGAGGTGATTAGTTGGAGGCGAGCTATTTGCGTAATATATATACTTATTTAAAATATAAATCATGCTCTCACTACTGCTTTAATTTTATGCTAGATATGAAAAATTGTGCACACAAGTATAACAGTTAGCGTAAC